GATGCGCTTTCTGCCGTCTCGGTCTCTGTGAACTTGAGCGCGAAACTCCGAAACTCTGTGTATACTTGCCTTACAGACATGAAAAATATATCTATAGAGCGCGAAATGTCTACTTTCAAATGAACCAATTCAAATGGAAAACAAATATTCTCAGATTATGTAATCCATATGAAACATGCATACAGGCGCATCCACTACTGCGGAGATGATGAGTCAGCGTCGCCGACTTCATCTCTTAAACCGAAAGCACTAATTTATCAAAAAATTATTGCAGCCTCCTTACTGTTTTTCACTGATACATTCATAATCCTTACTTCTGCCAGTGTGCTGTGGCAAGCTTTATGCATGTGCTTCAGTGTTTATTAGGCTAGGCAATTAAAGGCGCATTATAATGATTTAAATGGTTTATTAATAAATGTGCGATTAGTCAACTAATGCTTAAAATGACGACTACTAGTCGACCAGAAAAATCAGTAGTCGAGGGCAGCCCTAGTCAGCAGTGTGATTTGAGGTGACTCACCTTCGCTGTGCTGGCTGCCCGCGCTGCCTCCACCGGCTTCAGAGTAGCTGTGAGCTGCATCCGGGAGGGAATGGGCTGGTGGGTACTGGTAAGGGAACGCGGCGGGCCAGGGAGCTTCAGCAGGGTGAAGCAATGGAGCGAGAGTGTCCTGATCAGATGCTCCGCTGGATCCGTCATGGTCATGCAGAGAGAGATGGGCCATGTCTACAATAAAACACAGCCATGTTGATAAGAGTGACAGCACAATGTAAAATAGAATGTACAGTGACTAACGTTAATTTCGTTAACGAAAACTGTGATGAAAAATATTCGTTGACGACAACCTTTTTTTCCATGACTAAGTTGATATGACACTGACATCATCAGAAAATGTGACTACATTAACTTGCAATATCATTGAGTTTTCGTGGGGTTGCCAGATGTCAAGAAATCCCCCCTATCAGAGCTTCTCTCTTAAAAAGGACACATTTTCTGCCCTGTGTTTTACTTTATCTTTGCAACCTGGCAACCATGTGCATGCATTCTCTCTTACACTATGGAAAAGCATTGATTATCTGAAAACATAGACAAACATGCAAGTTAGAATTTAACGAATATTTGAATTGAATATTCTGCCCAAATACAGCCAGTTTGTGTTCTTTTACACTGTTGCTTGCGCTGTTTGCTGTGACTGGCATCAAACCTTGATGAACTGTGAAAAAAACCCAAACACGAATCTCGACTATATTGTTAGCGATGGAGGTTGCTGAATAAAAAAAAAAAAACTATGCCACAAAACAAAATCATCTTGTTGTTGTTTTAATAGAAAGACATGAATACAATTAGGAATTATTGTCAGTGTTTTAACTTTTGAGAGAAGCTTTAGAGTTTTACCAGTTCTCATAATGTAGAGAGCGTGTTTATATTAATGACAATATAATAAACTAGACTAAACAAAAAACAGGACATATTGACTAAATATGTTAAAAACAAAAAAAAAAAGACATTTGACACGGGGCTAAAACTAAATTAAAAAACAGCTGACAAAATGAACACAAACAGTGTTAAAGCTTACTACATTTTCTCTGGGACAAATGAAGTATTAGCCTCTGGTGAGCTAGAAATATACATTTCCCTTGAACGGGACAGGAGTACACTAAACATAGCACTGGAATATTTATACAACTACATACTCAAACAGATAATGACCTTTTTCATAGAATAACTCAAATTCAAATAGCCCTTACTAATGCACAATGAAAGAATGCAGTTGTTTTATTTAAATGTACAATGGACAGGTACCAAATGTAAACTCTGTTAATCCATAGTGTTAAAGGATAAACTGAAAAATTACAATTCTGTCATATATATTTACAAAGTCCTTCTGAACCGAAGTGACACTTTCTTCTGTGGAGCACAACAGGAGATGTTTAGGAGAATCTCTGAGCTGCTCTTTTACATACAATGAATGCATATATAAGCTATTAATCCATGTGACTTTCACACTGGCCTTCGTCGACGCTAGTTCCTTGATATTGGTTTAGTGTGTCTAAGTGGGCAGTTCTAGAAATAAGCTACTAAAACCCTGCCATATGATGGTTTTGTGAGAGGATTGAAATTTAAAGCCATAGCTCTCAAATGGCAAATCACGTGTCGCATATTAAAAACTATAGGACCACTTTTTGACAAAATTCTCATTTGTGACTGAACTGTAGTGGTAAAAGTACTTACTGCCAGAAAGATCTCCAAAGATGTAGTAGCACTGCTCTGAGAAGGTGATTTTGTTGACAGTGTGGCGGATGAAGCCGGCTTTCAACAGGTTGCTGGCATACTTTCGTGCTTCACGGCGATCTGCAAACCCCTCCACGTGATGAAACAACCAGTCAACCACATCAGAGCCTGTAAGACAACATATGCACCAATTATATATAGCAACTCCATCAAGTAGCTTATTTTTCTTCCCTATTGTGATGTCTGAAATTATATGAGTGTAACAAATTATCAAAATGATGAAAAAATAAATAAATAAATGCAGGACGGTGACTTGGTTCTATCCATCAGTTATTGACTGCACTAAAAATGAATGCGAACTTGCAGTCGATGGTTTAAATGGACTACTGTAAAAGACTGGCTAAGTCTGGCATATGGAAATAAGCTACTAAAACCCTGCCATATGATGGTTTTGTGAGAGGATTGAAATTTAAAGCCATAGCTCTCAAATGGCAAATCACGTGTCGCATATTAAAAACTATAGGACCACTTTTTGACAAAATTCTCATTTGTGACTGAACTGTAGTGGTAAAAGTACTTACTGCCAGAAAGATCTCCAAAGATGTAGTAGCACTGCTCTGAAAAGGTGATTTTGTTGACAGTGTGGCGGATGAAGCCGGCTTTCAACAGGTTGCTGGCATACTTTCGTGCTTCACGGCGATCTGCAAACCCCTCCACGTGATGAAACAACCAGTCAACCACATCAGAGCCTGTAAGACAACATATGCACCAATTATATATAGCAACTCCATCAAGTAGCTTATTTTTCTTCCCTATTGTGATGGCTGAAATTATATGAGTGTAACAAATTATCAAAATTATGCAAAAATAAATAAATAAATGCAGGAGGGTGACTTGGTTCTATCCATCAGTTATTGACTGCACTAAAAATGAATGCGAACTTGCAGTCGATGGTTTAAATGGACTACTGTAAAAGACTGGATAAGTCTGGCATATGTCACCAGAGAGAAATCTGTAATTTCACCGGAAGATCGAGTTATGACATAAAAAAAAATAAAAATAAATATATATATATATATATATATGGATGGATCAACTAACACTAAGATCAATAACATGCATTTAAAAAAACATGAATTTTCATTTTACACAGCTCTCTATATCTCTGTAATACCTCGCAATGACATCTTTACCATCCATACAATAATCAACAATAATCCCTCTGCTCCAGCAGCCTGTCATTCAAATAAGATCCCAGCAATTAGCAAACTGTGATACAGAACAGGTGAGTTTGAGTTTTCACCGCAACAAGTTTACAAGGCTTCATTAGAAATCAAGATGAACAATGACAGAGAACTATCTAAACCCTGTTGTTCAAACTAACACAGTACATGTACACAACTTTTATTTGAAAAAAAACTCAACTTCTTCAGTGGTCCTTTGCAGCACTTTAGGTTCTTCTTATCCCATTTTTATAGTGCAAATAATATTTTTTTGAACATTAAAAAAGACTGAGATATATCACTTCAAATCTTGTCCTTCAATGTAGCATTCAAATCTATTATCCTTTGTCAGTGTAAAATGTGTGATTTGAGAGCTTATCAGTGAAAGACAACATCATATGATTTCAATATACGTGCACAATACCTTACAAAGGTTTGGGGTCAGTAAGATTTGATGTTTATGAAAAAAGGCCTCTAATGCTCACCAAGGCTGCATATATTTAATCAAAAATACAGTAAACAGTACTATTGTGAAATATTATTACACTTAACTCTTTTCTATTTGAATGTATTTTAAAATGTAATTTAGTCCTGTGTTGCAAAGCTGGATTTTCAGCATCATTACTCCAGTCTTCAGTGTCACATGATCCTTCAGAAATCATTCTAATATGCTGATTTGCTGCTCAAGAAACATATTATTATTATCAATGTTGAAAACAGTTGTACGGTTTAATATTTTTGAGGATATTTTTTTTAGAAATCAATAGAAAGTTAGAAATTTCACAAATAGGAATCTTTTGTGGCATTCGTATGTAGTCATTTATTCCTTTCTCCAAAGAAAAAAAAAAACTTACCGTCTCTGCTGATGATAGTTTATCTTATGTTGCATTTAATGTGTAAATGAGTGTGTGAGAGGGGAAAAAATGAACACTCACTCCTTGGCAAAGCAAAGCAACTGTTTGGGTTTGGGTCCCAGCATTTGGCCACAGTAAGCGACACAGGTCTGCAAAAAAACAAAATTGGTGCAGCTGTTAACACACTTTTGTTGATAAGCTAAACACATCCCATATAACATGAATGTTTTGTAATATGACTCACCCAGGCTTATGCACGATCTCCCTCAGCACTCGTACCGCATCATCGTTGCACATGTTCTCAAAGTTGATGTCATTCACCTGTGAGAAAAAACAGAAATCTGAACTGATACAACCAGCGTCTGTGTCAGATTCCTATCCTGAACACGTCCTTATCCAGTCCTCACCTGCAGCAGCATGTCACCGGGCTCGATCCGCCCATCGGCCGCCACCGCTCCGCCCTTCATTATGGAGCCGATGTAGATGCCTCCATCACCGCGCTCGTTACTCTGACCGACGATACTGATGCCCAGGAAGTTATATTTCTCTAAATGAGGATAAAGCAAGAGAGACTTATGGCAACTAGTGGACTTTAATAATATATAGCTTTGCACATCTATAATATCATCCTTAGTTCTTATATCAGAGAGAGAGAAAAAAAAAAAGTGCCTTTAATAATTTAATTATACAGCACCAATTTAATTAAAGCAATAAGGCACTCACGGCTGTATTTTATTGTTCATATAATCAGAGTTTCATTAAAAAGCAACAAATAAAACCGTGTAATGCTGACTCACCCATATTTAAAGTGACAGTGATGATATTCAGCGACATAGTGGAGTCAGTGATGCTACTGAAAGATGAAGACTGAAGAAAGAAAGACAAAGATAGTTTTAACACTTATCGTATTAGACACTTAAAGAGCTCTGCCTGCTGTCTCACCCTCTCCATTTGCTGGGCTTTGGGTCTGCGTCTCCGCCGGCGGTGTCGTCTCATTAGCCTGGACGAGCCGCTTTGCTCCGTAACACTGCTGAAACTGCAGAACGGATGTCACAATATGGTGATTACATGAGCTTCCCATTTCAGTTTGTTTTGAGCCACAGCCAATGTGAAACATTATTGATCACTAGGGATAGGAATAAGAAAGAATTAATAGAGATAGTTCACCCAAAAATGAAGATTGTGTCACCCTCATCTCATGTTGTAACTATACCATAATATGAAGATATTTTTAATGAAATCAGAGAGACTTCTGTCACTCCACTGAAAGATTTAACTCCCCCAAAACTTTGACGTTTCCATATGAATCGAGCAGTTTAAACCAACTTTTCTTAAGAGGAATGATTGATTTGTGAAAAACGGATATAATGATGCTGCTGTTTTTCAATGGAGAGTGAAATCTCTCAGATTTCATAAAAATACAGAAGATGAACAAACGTTTATCCTGCAAATGTTTCATTTTAATTTGGCATAATCTTGCATTGGTTACAAGCCTCCACAAGCTTTTATGGTTGCCAGATGTCAAGAGTTTAAATCCCCAAACAGAGCTTTTCTCTTAGGGGTCGTTTACACGACAAAGTTTTCAGCCAAAAACAGGAAACTTTTTATGCGTTTTGCTTGTTCGTTTACAGAGTTTAAATCCCCAAACAGAGCTTTTCTCTTAGGGGTCGTTTACACGACAACGTTTTCAGCCAAAAACAGGAAACTTTTTATGCGTTTTGCTTGTTCGTTTACACGACAACGGCGTTTTGGGAACTGAAAACGCATATTTTTGAAAACGGGTTTCAAAGTGCAAGTTTTCGAAAACGGCACCGTTATTGTTTCCGTGCAAACACCCAATACGGTAATCTTTGAAAACGGTGACGTCATGCACGTGCGTATTACGTGTATGTAGACATGCGCAGTACGTGTCGATTTTAAAGGCAAGCGCGAACAAACATATACAACAACGGCGGAGTACATGGTACTGTTGTTGTTGCTGCCCAAGAGTTTGCTAACGCTTCTTCAGCAAAGTGTGGATTTACTTCACCAATATTACAACCAACAGCGGAGACGCATCATATACAACATATAATCGTCACTTCCCTACAGGTACTGTTTACTAACAAGGTGACAGCGCCAACTACTGGCCTGGCATCCGTTTTCGCAGATATGTGTAAGTGCGAATCGTTTTGAAAACGTTGTCGTGTATACGTGAAACTTTTAAGTTTCGTTAAACATATAAGTTGGAGTTTAGCGATCTTTACGGAGATATTCTGCTCAAACAAAAGTGCAATACAGCAAGTCTATGTTCTTTCATGAGACCATTTGCGCTGTTTGCTGTGAAATCCGCAAAGCGTGCGAGTTGACTTTTTCGGTTGATTTGAGCTTATCTGACATACAAATCAATAACCGTGATTATAGTTTTGAGCAAAATAATCATGATTAACCATTATTGCACAGCCCTATTCAATAAAATATTCAATTTTAGCATTTCCTAATCTTGTCTAATTATTGTTAAACAGCACATCTCCTACCATAAAATGACCAACCCTAACAAAATAGCATTCCCAACCCTATCAATAACATTAATATACATTTATTTTAAACAATTTCCAAAATCTCTATAAACTATGATTACCCACACCTGCTTGTCAAATTGCTCAAGTCAGAGCTCTGAAAAACCTCACTAAACCACTGGGGCTCGCCGTGATTGTAATCATATTGAGCGCACCGGTTTAAGAACGAGACTCACTGGCTGGTGGAGCCGTCATCCGAGTCGAAACAGCTGCTTGATTCCAGTTCACTGCTCATGAGGGAAGAACGGCTGTCACAGATGTCATAACCTCCCAGATCCATGCCTCTGCCGACCCGTGAGTAGCCATTCTGCCTTCCTCCTAGATGAATTACCACTGATATTAATGCTTAGTTGTTCCAAATATGAACTATTCTTACTTTTAAATATGAACCTTTTACTGATAAAACACCATGACATCGTAAGACATGCACAGTGAGATGAGAGTGTTGACACGCACCAGAGTGCTCATGTGAGTGTTTCCTGCGCGATCTGTCCCTCTCCCTCCTGTGTGACACGACCGAATCAGTCTCCGTCTCATCGTCCACACCGTGCCGGCTGCCTGCAGCCTTTGGACTGTGTGCGAGAGAAGATTAAAGAGTACAGAAACAAAAGACTCTGAGAACATGCTCCTTGTTTTGAGTTTTACTGCCAACTTGTGATTCGATCTGATCATTTGTACAACACAGCGTACTGGAAGGACGGGGGTCTGGAATCTCCAATGCCTTGGCTTCTCTCGTGAGACGGTGGCAGCTCGGACTGACTCTCCGCTACTGAGCATCCATCTGAGTGGGAGCCGTCTGATGACACCAGCTACCAAAGAAACAATGATATGCAGTTCACAGTAACCTGAAGTGGTTATATTTGAATCAACACATGGTTAAACACAGTTTCAGCTTATCATTGAGAAAACACCCTTTTTTAAGCAAAATGGTTAATGGGGGTACATCGCAATCTAACATACCTGTACTACAAACTCCTGTCACTGATCTCTCAGTATATAAACTCGCTATATATCCCCTCACTATACAAATATATTACAATACCCTAATCTTCATACATGGCCTATAAAATGGTTCCAGATCCCAAGAGAACTTTTACTATGATGGGTCACGCAACATTTAAAAACAGAGCAATAAAAATGGCAAATTAAAGTGAATGTAAATCTTTTTTTAAAAACAAGACCTTGGTTGTTTTCTTGTATTCATGTTGGTTTCATATGGTTTTACAAAAAAAACTTTATACCATTTTCAAAAAGGTTTACATTTAATGACTCTAAAAATGTCATGTGGTGCAACCGTCAAGTAAAAATTGTGTGTACACCATTTTTCTCATCATCATATTCTTCGGGATAAAAAGTATTTTTTACAAAATCATGAAATATTAATGTATAAATAGCAGTATGTTTTGGGGTGCTGCACCACATGACATTTTGCAACCTGAACTAACCTTGCCTTGTCACTAAAAGCTCAAACTATCTGATATTTTAAGAGACTTATTGACTTTGTCACACAGATATGTATATGTATTTCATCTGTGGAAGGTGTAAGGCTATAAAATATTCATCCAATTGCATCCCTCGGCCCGAGGGCTATGATAGGCTGCACTACCTACCTGTCAACGTATGTATTTGCATGATACGTCATCAGCGCGTTCCATTACGCTATTGTAAAGACGTTTTGCAAAATATCTTTGTTTTTCATAATCAATGAAATAGTGGTGATTCAAAAATATCCCACATTACAAAACGTATCTCACTGTCACGTGAAGCTCTGCTCATGTTCTTGAATACTGCCTGGATCACTGGCAGTTCATCTAAAATTCCAGTCACGTTCATCTCTCCTCTTATTGGTGTGAGGAAATCGGAAGGCCATTTGTACTTACCCCAAAACTGCTTTGTTTAAATAGTAATATATTAATCGTGTGTTTGTTCGTGCATACGCTGTCATTGAGAATGAAAAAGATGTTCTTTGTGGTTGCATGCCATTTAAATATAAAGAGTCGCTCATAAGACAAAGCTTATGCAGCAAACCAAAGTCTTTGATTAGCTGCATAAGACCGAAGTGAACCTTAAGCAGGAATGACTGGCAGACTCTTTGAAAAATACAAATACAGCAGAGCCAGCACTCAAGAGAACCGGGAATGGACTGAATTAAAAGGCTGATCTATTATGCAAGAAACACCAGGGAATTAAGATGCAGGACTAGATGGGATGTGTGCGTGTTTCTGTGCTCACCCAGCAAATCACACGGCCATTGTAACAGGGAAGCTTTGCATTGTCGTCGGCGATTTCCTCCTTGACCACCCTGCAGAGAAAAAAAATCAGAACAGACAGGTCTTGTTTTCCAACCACAGTCTGTGTGCGAACTGCAAAAAAGAAAGCTCAGCTTTAGAGATCCCCAGAGTGTCTGGCTGGGAATAAATTAGAATACGTAAATGAGACAATGCCATTAGATGAAAGAAAGGACGGGTTGGATCAGAAAGGCATAAATCAGATAAACATGCACACACACGTGCTCACAGAACACACAAAGGACTGAACGCAGGGAGACTCCAGCAGATAAGATCCCAAACTCATGAATTCAAAGATATTTCAGCTGTACAAGATGTACCACTAGAAAGTTGAGTTTGCGAATCTGTATGAAAAGACCTGTTTGTTCAAATGCTCATATGTAAAACTAGCACAAGCTTACATCATTTACAACCAACAAGATTGTAACATGACACTCTGAAACAGATCATTTAGATTCCACTATCAGTTTGTAAAACATACCACAAAAATGTGTATACATAAATGCCATGAGGCAAACAATAAATCAGGTTTCCCACTCTTTATGACCATTACATTTCCATGACTTTTTAATTGTATTTTTTTTATTCCTATACAGGATATCAGGTACCAATGCTTGAAAATTAAATAATCCTGTGGTGTGGTCAAAAGCACAAATATTCCATGCTTGCTCTGAATTATCATATACACTATCGTGCAAAACTTTCATTTAGCAAGGATGCATTAAACTGAAAGTAACAAAAAGGATTTTTACACGGACACAAAAGATTTCTATTTCACTGTTCTTTTGAACGTTCTACTCATACAAGAAATCATGGTTTCCCAACAAAACAAAAAAATTCTACACTGATAATAATCATGAGCAGCAAATCAGCATATTAGAATGATTTCTGAAGGATCACGTGACACTGAAGACTGGAGTAACGATGCTGAAAATTTAGATCTGCATCACAGGAATAAATTACTTTTTAATGTATTAAATTAGACAACCCCTATTCTGAATTGCAATACTATTTCACAAAATTACAGTTTTTACTATATTTTTGATCAAATAAATGCAGCCGTGGTGAGCATAAGATACCTCTTTTTAAACATATAAATAAATCTTACTGACCCCAATTAATATGTACTATTTTCACAATTTGAGTTGAATTACTGAAATAAATGAACTTTTCCACGACATTCTAATTTATTGAGATGCACCTGTATAGTATAGTTGGATCATGCAGTATAGTGTCAACTTTTAAAAAGTGAAATATCCTTTACAAACCAAGGGACGAGTCAAAATTATTTTCTGTGGTATTCAAAACCATGCTACAGATGCTTAATATTTTAAAACCAGATTATTTCGTTATTCTATACTACCCGTTTTTAACATAAACTACCCATTTTGATGTGCACTGCACACAGCAAAAAAAAAAAAAAAAAAGTATTAATTTACAAACACTCTAATCCAATAACGGCATTTAAAAATGTGTAAAAAGACCCTTTGTTGTGTTGACAGACATGTAAAACATCAATAGAGACAGATTCAATTGAGCTATTCATTTCCATTTGGCAGAAATCTGAGGCTGCCCTTCAATGACAAACATCTTTAAGCTTTTAATGAACTTTTTTGAAGGGGAGTTAAAGGGAGGGGAACGGGACGATCAAACTACAACATATTTCACTGGGGAAGGTTGTAAAGCTGCCAGCGCTGAAGCGATCAGGGCATTCCACAGTCACTGCCTGCAGTTGTTCCAAGTCAACATTCTTTGGCCTAATGCAACAGACAGACAAGATAAGAACACTAGCCAGCACTCCAAATGAGACTTATTCACAAGCTAGGGGTTAGTTTAAAGATACAGGTAACACTATATATAATGCACTTTTAAACCGGAACACAAATATGAAGCCACGTTTCACAACATTTCCAGTTACTTCAATCAACGTACAAGTAACTATTGGCCCATCAAGCACAATATATTGTAATAATGCCGGTATATAAAGAAAAAGCCCAAAAAAGTCCATCTCAAAGTCAATTTGTTTTCATGAGCTTTCGAACTAGTCATGATGATTGACAAATGATTTCTTATTTTATTTATAAGTCAATCTAGAGATATTGCTGGCCAGATTTTAATTCATCTATTTGATGATCATACTGTAATATATGAAATACACATTATCTCCAATAAGACATTCCAAACACTACCTTGCAAGCACGTTTTACTCTTTACAAGCACTCACGACTAGTAATATCCAATCAAGTATATGTTAAACGCAAAGCAAGGCTTGAAAAAATTATATTTCTTAAGTATAATTTCCATGCTGTACCTCACTTTAAAATCCCCTGATATTTCCAGGTTTTCCATGACCTGGCAACCCTGGTCTACTCATCCAAATATACAAGGTCTGCTTTTAAAGGCCTAAATAAGAGGTAAGAGAGTTCACATGAACTCCAAAGGAATGGAAACCGTGGAAAAGTGAGTCTATGGCTAATGACCAAGACCACACCATAAATAACGTTAAACGCGTCCAAAATTCCATAGAAACGCACCTCGAATGTTTTCATCATTTTGGGGGGGATGTTGGGTTTTGGGGACATATGGCCGCTGAACAGCGCATGCGCACTGCACATTCAAATCGATTCCACTGTACTTCTGTGCTTTTGAATCGAGGTGGAACATTCCTCAAAGTGTTAGTTAAACGGTTCAGTTTCGGCGATACTCGCTCATAAATGTTCTGACGCGGAGGTGCTTTGTGAAAAAAAAAAGAAAATACTCTAGGAACCGGATCTGAACACAATAAGCATAAAGAAACCCCAAAACCAAGAATGCTTTTTGTGTAGTCATGGTAATTTAGACTGACGCTGAAGAACATTCAAGAAGAAAGGATCCTAAACTACTCCCTGCTGTGATACTTTGACTGTGGTCACCAACCATTCACTAACTAACTACCTAACTAACTAACTGCACCCCAAAGCTCGTACCGACAGGCCAAAAGCCATATTTGAGAGTAATCCAGCCTTAAAATGGATGCCGTCGTCAATTGAACAGCACCTAACATTCACCCCTGCTGAACCCCGCACACACACACTGTTCATTTGACTGCTTTCACACACAGTTGTGTCCAACACAACTAATAAAAGACATTATATCAGCCTCTGAAAAATCACGGCAGTCGATCCACGATCCAAACAAGGAGAGAAAATGTGCGAAGACCTGGAATTGTGCGTTAAACCCGAGAAATACATGCAGAAGTGCGAAGAAAACTAATGTGCGGTAGGCTCACCCAAAGTCATCGTCCATAGATTTAAAGAAAAACTTGTAGTTTGGTTTCTTGAGGGCATTTTTCAGGTCCAAAAGGGTGACCCTTTCGGCAGGGATGGGCAGTTTGACCAGGTATGGAGTTTCCTGGTCGTCGAGATGGTAGATAACTTTAGTCTCCCCCATTGCAGACCGCTGGGGAGAAGTGAACGGCGGTCATCCAGCGCAGGGGCTCCCCTGATGCCCCTCCAGAGTGGGCTTTTGCTCGCTTTCACCCGCCAGTTGACTTTTTTGTTAATCCCGTTCTTTCTTTCTTTCTTTGCTTCCTTGCCTTCCCCCGGAGTTCCCAGGAATCTTCTCTATCAGCGCGAATATTCCATGAGCTGATGGGTTTGAAAGGCGATTAATGACCCATACTCTTATTCACTGCGTCCCGCCTGTTGAGAACGGAGGATAGTGCGTGAAATGTGTGATAAAGAAGCTTATTTTAGTCAGGAATGCCGTGGTTTCTCGGAGAGCTTCCCTGTGCTCTCCTTACAGAGGGTTTTGTATTGCTTTCATTGACACCGAATGCCCGGGGAAACGCGCTCCCTCTAGCGGAGAGGGGTGGTAGGTGTGGGGAAAAAAGTTACTTGGGGTCATTCTACTGAAAGAATGCCATTTGGAGAGTGGGGTAAACGGGGCCGCTTACCTACTTTGTCCTCTAGGCAAGGAGAATGTATCTAAATATATTTCAATGTCTAATATCAACTAGAATCACATACATACAGCTAAAAAACAGCACTTCTGAAAAAAGGTGTTCCAGTGACACAACATGCCCTGAGTAAACTGTGTCATGTCCAGAGGAGAAGTCATGAAGTATGTCATTGAAGTACATAGGAATAATTTAAATTCCAAATAAAGATGATAACACAATAACTGTTTAAGCAATAGTTACAATTTAAGCGTTATCCCTTTCTAAAATCTTATTTTACGTATCATTCAACTTTACTATAATATATCAACAAAAAAGCAGAGATTTAATTTCTTAGAATATTTCAATGTAGTGAAACTTTTTATATATATATATATATATTTCGGTTTCTAATAGCTAGACAAAACAATTATAAAATCCTTTAGTGAACTAAAAGAAAACCTAAGACATTATTCCACGTAATCAAAATTTTAGTGAACATTGCTGGGTGGATTACTTACAAATTATGATGAAAACTGTAGTCAGTAGTTTCATTTAGATCACTCAATTTAGCTAATGCATTTGGACTTCTTTTAGATTTCTTGAGATTTAATTTCTTAGAATATTTCAATGTAGTGAAACTTTTTATATATATATATATATATTTCGGTTTCTAATAGCTAGACAAAACAATTATAAAATCCTTTAGTGAACTAAAAGAAAACCTAAGACATTATTATTCCACGTAATCAAAATTTTAGTGAACAGTGCTGGGTGGATTACTTACAAATTATGATGAAAACTTTAGTCAGTAGTTTCATTTAGATCACTCAGTTTAGCTAATGCATTTGGACTTCTTTTAGATTTCTTATTATGGCCTAACATTTGAATGGGATTATTGTTATTAAAGAGAAATCAAATATATTCAATTTTTTTGTGAAATGCATTAAACATTACATTACTTAAAGGTTTAAAAATAACTGTATTCTGAATACGAGCATTTTAAAATGTAATAGAATCTAATTACAAGTGCTACATTTTTGGAATCTGATTGCATAATTCAGATTACATGTAATCAGTTACTACCCAGCACTGTTAGTGAAATATGAAAAGTAACAAACGTAATGAATTTTGTTTAATAAAATCTAAATATATGAAGATAAAAGCTAGCATTTTGTTATATTCCCTCTTATTTGTTTTTGCGTTTGCTGGTACACATCTGCACAATCTACCACACCTTAATGAAACCATTTGTATCTCTTGATAAAACCCAACCTGTATATAGATCACATTAAAGTAGGTTAGATAAAATCAGAGACGATACAATGACTTGACCTGGTTTATAATCACTGTGGTTTGCAGGCATATTTGTCTTCTGTATCATATAACACTGCCAAGTCACATGGTGATAACACCAGGGAAATGCTCATAGGCATTATTCACATCAAATGCTCATATAAATTCCCAGAATGTCCTTTAAATGTAACTTTTTTTCACACAGTGTAATTTGTGGATTTCCCCTCGCGTTTTTCAGGAGTACAGAAAACTGTCAGATCTTTATCCACTGTAATATATTTTATTCATACCCGTGATGTGCAATCCTATAATCCAAGAGACTGCGAAATATTTGTCAGGTGACCATATATCAAAAGGGTCATGGCTATCTGAGATATGCACATGAGAAAAATCATTTGTAATGCTAAAAACAATGCTAAAGACAACGCAAGTGAAAAGTGGAACAACTATTTCTAATGTGGAAACTGAGAAAAGTTTGGACTATTTACTTTTTATGCCGTGTACCACAAAACATTTAAACTGATTTTCAAGAGACCAAAAAACATCCACATACAAAAGACAAGACTGTTAAGCAGAAGGTTTTATTTATAAAAGAATGTAGTGCAGATTCACAAATCTCGCAGAAAACAGCATCTGGAAGAGAACAACAAGAAATATTAAGCCACAGGAACACAGCATGAACATATGAATGCTGAAAATCTAGCAATGTGCACAGCTCTACACTGTAAAAAATTTACGGTAAAAAAACGTCAGCTGTGGTTGCCGGAATTTAACTGTATACTACCGTAAAATTAATGTCCAATACAGTTTTTCACCGTATATAGTAGGGGAATTTACCGTTAACCATTTAACAGGTTTTTACTGTAGCATTTTTACAGTCTTTTACCGTTAAATTCACGGTTATTTTTTACAGTGTATAAATCAAGTCAGCCCTTATTGAACTCAAATTCACGCACGCAACACTTCTGCAAAGCAGCAAAAGAGGGAACCGTTTTAAAAATAGTTGGTAAAACTCACCTCACACGCCACTAGTCCTTGAATGCTGGGATCACTCCTTGGTGAATATAGACCCTTTATAATAGACAGGATGACACGGAATTAGCATTAAGCTTTGCATTTTTATGGATTACATCATCATGTAGTAAAATGCATCATCGATTGTTGATGTCCATAACATGACACTTTTGAAAGGCACAGATGTAAACGCCTTTCATCAGCCACCTCATGTATTAATGTCTGCCCTAGTTGACACCACATTCATCTGAACAGCAATGAACAGGTAACACATAAGGCATGATTAGCTTCACTCTAGCTGTACTAAAACTTCTTTTTAAACACTTAAGAGAATTGAAAATGTTCATAGCTGCATACCAGGTGTCATGTAACCCTGACCCTGCTCACCTGAAATGATAGAATATGATTGTTAAAGCATGCACACAAATGATCAAGTCATGAATGTAGATAATTGTGAACACTGTTCTTGTCATAGCACAAGCAAGAGGAACAATTAGAGTGTTCTCTCATAAATTAGACTATTTCAAGATTTATTGTGCGCCTTAGTTGACACCACATTCATCTAAAGGAAAATGAATGGGCAACACAAAGGCAAGACAGAGAACCGTATATCTAGTATAACTTGCATTCTAATGGAACTAGCTTCACTTTATTCTATTTTTTCAATAACTGTATTTAAAATCAGCTGTTGATGCAAATTCTTACAAAATGTAGATTCACACCTCATGGGGTCAACACGTGACACGGTGCACCAGCCATTTCCTGCTGCTTTCAATGTAATGCTGGGGGAAAATAATAATAATAATAATATCAGCAAATAATGAACTGTACTTGCAAAAATGAAAACCACGAGAGCAACAATAATCTTTAAAAATCCAGTGCTGAGGTACGTTTGATTACATATTTAATGATTAGCTTCACTCTAGCTGTACTAAAACTTCTTTTTAAACACTTAAGAGAATTGAAAATGTTCATAGCTGCATACCAGGTGTCATGTAACCCTGACCCTGCTCACCTGAAATGATAGAATATGATTGTTAAAGCATGCACACAAATGATCAAGTCATGAATGTAGATAATTGTGAACACTGTTCTTGTCATAGCACAAGCAAGAGGAACAATTAGAGTGTTCTCTCATAAATTAGACTATTTCAAGATTTATTGTGCGCCTTAGTTGACACCACATTCATCTAAAGGAAAATGAATGGGCAACACAAAGGCAAGACAGAGAACCGTATATCTAGTATAACTTGCATTCTAATGGAACTAGCTTCACTTTATTCTATTTTTTCAATAACTGTATTTAAAATCAGCTGTTGATGCAAATTCTTACAAAATGTAGATTCACACCTCATGGGGTCAACACGTGACACGGTGCACCAGCCATTTCCTGCTGCTTTCAATGTAATGCTGGGGGAAAATAATAATAATAATATCAGCAAATAATGAACTGTACTTGCAAAAATGAAAACCACGAGAGCAACAATAATCTTTAAAAATCCAATGCTGAGGTACGTTTGATTACATATTTAATAGAATATTCCAAGCTGCTCAAGAGTCACAGATAAGCCATTTTTAAATGTGACAACAGAAAGATTTATTTGCACGAGTATCTAAAATAAACGGGGAATATTTGAAGAACGACGACTGGACAGCATTCAACGGGCTATTCCACAAAACGAAATCCTCCATTTTCATAATCGTACCACTAAAAGTAAACATTTACTATAAAACCTGCTCATGTACAAATAACATTCACTACTTACCCACATGCTACACAATGAAGCCGTCTTTACCGCTTTAAGAGCGCATGATGACACTCGCTTTCACTTACTCATCTCCACGTGGACAGGCAACCAGAAAAGTCCTTCAGGAGGAATGAAGGACCCAGTGCAGGCGACTGAGAAAATGCCTGAGCGCAATTACTTAAACGTGCTTCCTCAACCTACACAAGCAATCAAAGTTTATACTTATTCATCATTATATCTATTTTCCACATTTTATAAATAATGGATTTGTCTAGATTACAACTCTGCACACGGTTCACTCTCAACCAACTGAGGTCTTTTTTTAAACAGTGCATAACAGTAAATTATATATTCTGATTTTCCAGTATAATCCATAAAAAAATAAATAAAATAAAATTGTTAATAATTTCAAAAGTAATTATAGGCACGATTTATATATTTTTATATATTTGTATTTAACACAATTTCATACAAGTTAATTCTAACAGAAAAAGTACATTAGAATAAAAATTGTATACGACTAGAAAATAATTTTAAGGCTTTAACCTTGAGCATTCAACAAGGGGTTGGTGAAGGGTCTGTAAAGGAAAACCACTGACACTGACAAAAAAATAAATAGAATTTGCTTAAACTATTCCAACGAGATTTTTAACGTTCAAATCTGAATGAACATTAAAATGACAGTCTGGCAAAAAATGAAAATGCTATCACTATTTAATTTACCCTCATGTCACGACTCACGTAACATAAAAGATATTTTGAGAAATGTTCCAGTATTTATTTGTTTTTTTGTTACCAAGAGAGTCACTGGGTTGGCTGATCGTCAAGGTGGGAATCGTGATAATCATGAAAAACTTTTTCAATTATACCAGGAAAGTATATAAAATGAAAAAAAAAAAAAAAAAAAAAGAGTTATTTGCATTTGTATTTACGGAGCCCCTAAAGGGACATGGTGGCGGAAAAAAATCAGATTGAGTGAAAAAATTTGGGGTGGGAGGAAAAAATATTTGTCAGATTTTTTGCGTTCTCTCGCAAAACTTTTGCGTTCCCTCGCAAAACGCAAATATCTTTTGCGAGAGAACGCAAAAGTTTTGCGAGGGAACGCAAAGTTTCTCGAGGGAACGCAAAAGTTTTGCGAGAGAACGCAAAAAAAAATTTCCTCCCACCCCTAATTTTTTTTCCACCACCATGTCCCTTTAGGGGCTCCGTATTACATTTAATAACACTCTCAACGGATAAATAGCGATCCTACTTTTAACATGCGGGGACGATGGTAGGACTTTTATTTTGAAACTCCATGGTTTTGCTGCCATCTTGGAGCCGAATTAAGTTGATCCCAGTCTCTTTTGTGGCTCCTGTCAAATCGGAACTGAAGGTCTGAGATCACGAACACAGAGACATTTAAACCGCGAGACACTTCGGCTCCTGTCAGACCTCGACCTAAAGAAACACAAACGTTCAAAACCCCTTTAACACGATCTAAGCGAATAACTGCACTAAAACACAAGGGTAAGCAGCTAATGAGTGTTCATGTCTGTATATGCGTCCTAAAGATAATCAACAAGAGCCAGCTGGTGTGTAGTGTTGCTTGACATGCGAGCTCAAAACGTTATGTTTATCAAGTTAGCTGTTTGGTTGAGTAGTTGAACTATACTGTCACTTTTTGAGACACTCCCACTGTTATTTCATACTGTATAAAAACCTCTATTCCAGTGGTTTGTTATGTTTTTCTCTGAACTAACTTCATGCCAGGAATGTGGAGCATTATAACGGACGGTGGCCCTGTCTGTGAACTAATGATAATTTTTGTGACCCTTGCATTATATTATATACACTCTCGCACAGCTGGGATTGCACTTAATAGTGTGTGCACTTAATTCGGACTCTGTGCTCTTAGATAAGAGAGAAATAATGGGATTGTGTTTGTATTATAACCTAAAGTGCTGATCTGTCTTCATCTCCTTGTCGTCCTAATGCTAGTGTGTGCTCTGAAACATGAGCTGGCCTTAGTTTAGTTTGTTTATATCAGTGCCAGATCTCAAAGCAGGGTCGTATTTAGTTGATGAGTCAGTTATGAGTGTGCTATAATGGATGTAATGTTGTTTTCGGGTCACATTCCTCACCTTTTGCTTCATTCACTCATGCATTCACCCTGATAAGACGCAAGGCTCTGTGTTTAGATGAAGGAATGAGGAAGGGTTTCCATGGGCTTGTTCTGGAAATCTGTGTTGCTGTTGACCTGAGCTCAGTTTTTTAATGTACTTTTTTGCAATCTTGACTGTATGGACTGTTTTTTCCCCACCTTTTCATGAAGAAATGGCTAACTTCTATGAATACCTGTTTCCACCACAGGATGAAAAACAAATAATTGTGATTTTTTTTTTTTTTTTACTTCACAAGTCATCAATTTCTCTCATAGTTTTCCATTTGAATTTAACTTTTTTATTTTTAATTCCATAGTGGAAACCAAAAAACAGAACTGTGATATGTAAACTCCAAATTCTGAGAAAAAAGTCAAAATTTCAAGATATAAACTCAGAATTCTGTGTTCTTTTCTCTGAGTTTACCTCTCATAATTAAGACCTATTTTTTATTCAGAATTGTGAGTTTACATCTCATAATTCAGACTTGCATTTCTGAGCTGTTGAATTTGTACATATATATATATTAGTGCTGTCAAACGATTAATCGCGATTAATCGCATCCAAAATAAAAGTTTTTGTTTACATAATATATGCGTGTATTCTGTGTACATTTATTGTGTATATATAAATACAAACACATGCATGTATGTATTTAATAAAAATATGTTATGTTTATATATTAAATTTATATATAATATAAAATATAAGAATATAAATATATAAATGTATATACATGTAAATATTTTCAAAATATATACTGTATGTGTATATTTATATACATAATAATGTGCACACACATATTATGCAAACAAAAACTTTTATTTTGGATGCAATTAATCGTT